TTTTGCTGCAGGAATGTTGTTGATTTTCAGTCACCACTGTTGGCGTTCTGAGGGGTTGTGGCTTGATTACCTTTTTTCAACCCTGAAATTACTGTCTGCTTTACAGCTGGAACAGCAATCTCCTTTGTCAATCGATTGACGGTGGTCTCAGAGACTAGACTGTCTTTCTGATGAGCGACATACCATCGGAAACTGTTGAGTCCCTCTTGTATGTAGCTGTCTATAGCCGCATCACCCATTTCTTCGTCTGAGTTTGTCAAGTTAGAGTCTTCCTCGAAGACTCTCATCCTTTCAGTTATTTCTAACTCCATCTTGTCTTGATCTGTCGTATTGATTGATAGATTCCTTGAATCCAGGCGCTGTTGCAGCCTAGTTTTAATTTTCGCCATTGTTTTAAGCTGGCGCATGGGGCGAGTGATTTTTGAGGGCCCGATCGCCATTTTGGTGGTTTGGGGTCTCACCACTACGAGAAACGATGTTATTAGCTTGAGTGATGATAATTTGAAGGGTTAAGGAGACGGTTGGGAGAATATTCATCGGTTTCAAAGCACTGTGTTGTGCGTAGGCTCGACGTTGAATTTAGTCAGTCTCGTTTTAAGGTACTATGCGGTATCTATATATAGAACCATGAAGACGTTAAGCCATGTTAAGAAGGGAAAAAGTTTTCAACAAACAAAACCTGATGTCGTGCCATTCTGAACCGACCCGGCTTAATGCTGATGACGTTCCTTTCAACCACAAATTTATAAACTTTCCCCAGATTTCGTTAACTCCTCCTTTGATCAGACTAACTTTATGAGAAATTAAATAGAGAAGCACCTCCTCACTCGGCGTTGGTCTTCGAAGTGTTCGAAGAGTTGGTCCCGATGGTGGTGCTGTTGTGGCAGGGATTGTTGGTGCCACTGGGGCTTCGACTTCCTTGCGTGGTAGTCCCGGCCCTCTTTTGAGTCCTTGAGCCTTTTTACTGGTGACCATAGTGAATCCTTGATCATCAGTCGTTCCGACTGTTTGTATTGGCGCCATTGTTGGTTTTTCACTTCATATTTCCGCCGTTCTTGACATCAGCTCCATCCGAGCCTTCTCCACACTTCCCTTGTAGACCTGGTAGGTCCATCACGCTGCTTTCTGCCACGAACGGTGCTCATTGCCGCAGTTCGCACAAGAAACCCTTTTCCTCGAACAGTCCCGAGTTCGGTGAGAGCCAGCGCACTCACCGCACCTAGCTGCCTTTTAACACGACGCCTGCGTATGTCCCCACTGACTGCAGTTGTAACATTGCTTTGGCTGGGACCGTGGTGACCACACCTGCGCGGTGTAGAGCATGGCGTTCATCACAAGGCCGTTTCGGACCACTTCCGTCTGCATTGCCTCCGATGGGAGGCTTACCACGATTGATCCACGAGTGCGGCCGATTTTCTTTGACCGCTGGTGTTCATTTCCGTCGTGTAACCACCTTATACGACTTATGACTAAGCCTGGAATCCGTGCCTTTGTAGCCGTCTCTATCTCTCTGATGATGGCAGAATTGTTGGCATCTCTGCCCCCTTCAATTCGTGTCCGCAATGGGACACCATTGACCTCGACTGCAAAATCTGCCGCCAAATTTTGAATTCCGTTGATTGTTGCATATTTAGCGCCGCGTCTCTCTGGGACGCCGACTGCACGAACACCTCAGTGTCGTCGCTCTGCATTTGACGAATCGCGTATGCGCCTTGAATGTGCTCTTTTGCCTTTGAAATCAGCTCCTGTGGCTGCAAATTTTGAGCGCCGTCGATTTTAATTCGTACCGCTGTTTTTGTCATTTGGGGAGCCATGACCGACGCGTAACTTCTTGCTGTCAGCGCGCCCGAAACCGCAGTTGGAGCAGCTTTTCGAGCGGGATCCGCGAGGCTTTTCTTTATGGCTTCAGAGGAAGCCATCATCCTCTCCTCGTTAGGAGACTTCTTCTGGGACATTTCCGTCCAGGCCCTTTTGTGCGCATTAGAGGCCTTGACAACCTTTTTCACGTCCTCCATTGAGGGTAGGTACTCCTCATCCATCTCTCCCATCACAATCAGTCTAGTCTGTTTTAGTAGTTCCCCAGGATTTCGAGGTTTCTATCCTGTGGAGCTGTCTGCGCTCTGCTGCCGTTGTTGGTTGAAGCCATTGTCGCATTTTGCGACGCGTCGGAACCGCTGGATTTACCCACAACAGCACCCACACTCGCCATGTTGGAGCACGGAAAGCGAAAAGATGAAAGGAGGGTAATGAAGATGAAATAATGACGATTACGATGATAAATTGAAGATACGGGCAGCGTGGAAGGCTGCGCAGCTTTCTGGCAAAAATGATATTTATTTATTTCGCACGACGTTAATATAAATAAATATTATTCCATAGATCAATCGGGACGTCACTAGAAATTTCTGGTAAGTAGTAGTAAGACTGCGAGCCAGCCTCAGGGGAAAATACCAGAAATTGGTTACAGGCAAGAAGAATATTCTAGATAGAGTAGTATGTGTATGAATAGTTGAAGTAAGACGTGTAAAGATAGCCATAGAGAAAATAATAAACTTCCTTTGTCTATCTGATTGCTCCAGCGTCGACACTCAGACCACGACAGTAGGATTGACACAGTGTATCCCAACACAGAAAAAATTGAAAACTCAAAAACCAAACCTTTCATCAATAACTGTTTCACGGATCCGTAATTAGAATTTTAATACTAACTTTAATTCGTGATAAAATGAAGGGGTAGTTAATTAAAGACATCAATTTAATAATAGCTTCCCCTATACAATTAGTTGTGTAAAAAGTCATGTAAGGAAATGCAAGAGAGTCATGAAGAGAAGGACAAGAACACAGCCATCAATGCGAAGATATTGGCTAGAATTGATTACGATTAATTCCGGCTGGCAAATGCTTCTACTCTTATATATAATAGTTCGGCGTGAAAGAGATTTACTCCTCACGCAACGTCTTCTTTATTTACCCTTTACAATACATTTGTTCGCCCATCTCTTCTTCGGGAAGACCATATGTCCATTGCCCAGTTCTTCATCAGCAAGACCCACGTGTAACATCTACTGCAACAAGTTGCCCATTCATCTCTTCCTAGAGAAGACCTGTCATCCCTTTGACCCATTTATAATCTTCACTTACCACCTAGATCTTCACTAGGCTATACAACGCATCCCGTGGAACACTATCGAACCCTCATCCCTGAGAAACTGCCATTAGCCATCACCTGAATTATTTCTGTACTTCATAATTTCAAGGGGCAATGTCTAATTTTCACTCCCAACAAGATCGACTCCTCTCTAAGCCTGATCAAGACTACAAGTACGACCTAGTACATCCTCATTCCATTGATCACATCTCTAGCTGACTCTCTCTGGCCTCAGCTCGTCAGCAAATACAAGCCCACGCCGATATTTATACCCGCGGGAGTGTCAGATTGGAGCGTAGGCGTTTGACCCGAAGCGGAACGGGAGGGCGAGAAGAGGTCGGATGGATCGCAAGAAATGACTGAAGGTCTACTGTAGATAACTTGGAGGAACTAAAGGTTTGAAAGATGGGTAATATAAATAGCTAAAAGGTCCAAAGTTTCGAGTGGGTACTAATGGTAATTAAAGATACAAGATGTAACTGGAGGTGACTAGAGGTAATCCGAGGATGGTAGTTGTGACGGAAAACTAAAGGTAAAGAACTTCATCTCCACAAACCAAGCCATCATACATAATACTTGCTTTCCTTCCTCTAGCTCATCATAACGTAGGCCCTAAACTAGTACCAACATAATTACAGGTGCCAAGAACTGTTCTGTTGTAATAGCAACATCAGGAGAAGGGTAAAATTATAAGCTAAAGTTAGGATGGGAAGAAGAATCCTTACAGGGAGGAAGCAAAGCATCGTGTACAAATCTGGGAGACAGAGCTTTGGGATAGATGTGAAAGAGATCAGGATGAGTCTATAAGATGACGCAGAAGAAAGATAGATTCTTGAAATGTATGAAATATTGAGTTTTTGCACAAGGTTTTATAAAATGAGGAGCATTGTACACGCCAAGGCTTTGATTTTGAGAATGCGGCCAGCAATGTAAAAACATGCCAAGGAAGAAATGCGCCGTTATCTGCCTCCTAGTGATGATCTCTAGTACAGTCTGAGTAGCCTGGGCACCTACTCCACTTGGGAAGGAGACGCCTAAGACCATATTTCGCGCGGAGAAAAGTTGAAAGATGATGGAGGCGTGTCTGGATAACTCAGGTTTTTTGAGACGTTCCCCTGGGTGGGTATTCACGGATGAGGGTTGACTTGAAGTGAAGAAAAAGCCGCCATAACTTCGCAGTGGTACTTGCAAATGAAATCTGAGGCATGAGTGCTCTTCTTGTAAATTTAGCCATCTTTTCTGTACACTTTCTTCGATATTGTGTCATAGCTAGATAGCTGCACCCGCAATTCCAATCTGATGCAAAAATAAATCTATTCATCGTCACGTGGGCCAAGTTGGCTCGGATAAATTTGATTAAATTTGGGTTTGAGAGGATATTCCACTCCCAGATTCGTAGATGACATGGTTTACAGGTATTTTGTCTACGCTACAAGCATGAAGTCAGCTCTAGTCAAAATCCATTCATTCGTCTGATGACTATCAAATCATGTGGTACTCATAGCTTATCGGTCGGATGCGAGGATTAGATGCTATGAATTGCCTCAAAATAAGAGTAGTACTCGCCGATATGGTAGGATTCGGGCCATCCTTCACAAGTGACGGCGGCCTCGAGCTATAGGCTCTATGAACTGTAATTATTAGGCATCTGACCATCTTGGGATTGTGCGCGCAAGAAATATCCCTTAAATACCTAGAATTCCTGCCTAGTCGTCGAAAATTGCTCAACTACCCTTCTCATCCCTTTTTGATCTCACAAGAGAAATAACCACAAGAATTGAAGCTTGTAAGTTATCCCTTTGGCCCCAAAAGACAAGATTCACAGAGGATTTATTCAAAGCTCAGACTCAAAATGAAGATTGGTCTCTCTTCACTCACCATCCTCTCCAGTCTATTTTTGCCAGCACTGGGACTCGTGGGCTACTATTGTGGATCCGATACTATTACCTCGGACATGACGGATAATGCTATAGGAGAATCAATGAGAGTTGCGAGGGAAAAACCAGATGGATATCTTCAAAATCTCCCAATTAATGCCCAAATTGAATTCCAAATCCAATTTAACAGCAGGCAAGAACCAGGTATGTTAATTCCTCTCTGATCAAAATGTAATAGTGGTTAATATATCTGTGCGAAAAGGCAATACTTTTTGGGTCACACACAACAAGCGAGGAGATCTTCGATCAGTGTATTATATAAGTCAAGGGCATAAAAGCGATTGTCCTAATAAAAGTTTGGAAATTTATTCGCAAGGAAGTTTCTTCGAATAGTGAAGGAAGTTTGATTTGCCGTCTGCTGAAGCTTTCTTAGAAATGACTAGGCGAGTAAGTACAAGAGGATATAACCGGATAAGGTTAGGCTTGTTAGACTTAGCGGGCGAGACGTAAGAGATTAGGACTGAAGAACGAGAGATGCAGTGGTTTAGACGAGTAATTTGATACTATTGACTATGAGAAGATGAGATTGAGAATGTGAAGAACAACGTTAGGGTAACTCCAGCTTCCTTGAGTACGACTACCTACGTGCGAAATTTGAGCTGAGGCTTTGGAAGATTAGGTCATGGTGAGCCCTTCTAAGTCTACTTGCCAGAGTTTTCCCGGAAATCTTCTCAGTGAAGCTTCTTCAAGGCTGCCTGACCATAACAAATACTCTCGCATACAGTTCCGCAAAGTCACGGCTTGACATTTGTATGTGCTTAGGTGGACACCTAAGCGTAATACTTGGTTTGTTTACGATAAGGTCGCACGGGGGGGAAAGATGGAAGTAGACGAAACGATAATACTAATCAGGACGCTAGATCGATGTTGCAACCAAGTAACACCCAACAATATGTGGCTAGGCAGCGAATATGATGTCTGGAGGAAAGCCATCAGTTAGTAGATAGCCGCAGCGGATCAGTCATCATAAGTACGTGTTAGTTGTAGCTAGAGTTCCCTTCCCTCCTCATATAGTTTACTAAATCGATTTATTCATAACTAACTCGCTTTCCGTCCCCCCCAATCATGATTGGAGTAAATTCAGCCCTGAAACTAAGCAGGAAGAAGCCTTGGATTAGTCATGCATCAGTCACAGAAGGAAAGGTGGCCAGAGCTGAAGTGGAAAACGTTTCCTGTGTGTAGTTCCTTTATATAGCAGTTCTGGTATAGAGATAGTCGGCATATGTAAAATTCATGTGATCTACTTGTTAGTTTGCCCCCAAAGATAACCTGCAGTGACCGTCGCTCTAATATTGAGAAATAACGGTATGGCTGAAGGTTACCCAAACAATATTAGCTGAAGATGATGATAATAAGGCGTTGGTAACATTGAGTGGTGGAGTATTAATAGACTTTTTCAGAATAAAGTGGCTTGAGAAAGCCGTGACTCTCCTTTTTTTTTAAAATCATTTAAATCCGTGACTCGCATCAGGGCTTGTTTGCTTCGAAATAATTTATGTTGTTGAAATCGGCGCTACTTGGCAATGAAGAGTCGCATTAAAACGGAACCTCATAAGATTCTATTATTACTATCCACATTCATGACGACTCATACATTTGAGGATCCAAGATTGACATACCTCTAGATTAGTACAAGGCTCTGATAAATTGTAATGCTTATGTGTTGTAATGGAAGTTGTTTAGAGAAGCGTAAGCTGTTAGGCTTGTGTATAATATCACCTGGTGAAGCGAGTGGGGAGACTGAAAACTATAGTAGAGAGTTGTTGATTAAAGCCACTTAGTATCAGAGCGCTATTTAAGCTGTTGACTATATCTAAGTGAAGGACACGATTCACTTGTTCATGCTAAATAATTGGGAGGCTGGTCAATGTGAGGTTGTTGTAATTAAGGTATGAGTAGGTATGAGATGTTGAATATTCTAGGGATAGTGCAGAGGGTGGATAAGGATTATCAGAGCTTGACAATATGATGAATAGCTTGGTTATATTATTCTACATATCACAGTAGTAGATAGGACTTATATACACATATTTGGCACCCGCTATACAGTACATCACCGTCTATGCATGAAGCACTACAATCTTAATTCCATGCAATACTATCCCACATTACTCTATGCCATTGTATAGAGCTGCGCCTCAATAGTCATTCGTAATGATAGCCATGTAGGGCTGTGCAGTACTCGCACAGATGTGTTGTATCCCTGGCACTTGGCAGAGATAAATTTAGAGTAAATGCAATAATCACATCACAACACTCCCCCTGTTGGTAACAACTATGATTTATGGTGATAATGTTGTCAGTTTAGTCAATATGCAATTTTACCCTATGACCACTGGTGACTTGACTTTAGTCAAACTGTCTACCAATTGATTGGATGATGGAACATTGTTATGAATTTGTTAGATTTAATCTGGATGTGGTGATGCAGGGGTTATCTTCTTCATTCGGTTAGATCTGAGGCAACAGGATTTGGATTTTTTCAGGCTAGAAATTTGAATTGGTTCTTTAGTTCTAACAATTTTGTTACTTTTACGATTATTGTATAATTTGCTTATTGGGAACTCGATATTTTGATAATATGATAATTTGAACATATGAATTCGTAACTTTGATAATCCGAGCCTCAATTACCTTCATTTGTACCTTCGCACATTTGACATTTGCACCTTCGACCTTCGACCTTCGTAACTTTGTAACCTCGAACCTTTGATAATTTGTCTTCGTCGAAATCGACTCGACCTCTGCAGCTTAACAGCTTCGAAAATCTGCCAATAAGTAGATTCGTAACAAACATATACCACTTTGATTTTGCCTTTCTGGTGTTGCTCTCGATAGTAGAAATTTCTCAATGAGATGTGCTTAGAGCGTCGATGGTTATCATGATTTTTGATGAGGGATATTGCGGATTGGTTGTCAACATGTAGTCTAGTCTGAATAGCTCCTTCGACTTGATCAACAAGCTCTAACTCTTCAAATAATGATTTCACCCATTGTAATTGGCGACAGGTTTCAGTTGCCGCAAGGTACTCTGCCTCAGTCGTGGACAGAACAACTTCGCGCTGTAGGTGGGATTTCCAGCTGATTGGTCCAGATGCGAGTCTAATCAGAATCCCAGAGGTTGATCTACTTGTCGCTGAATCGCCTGCAAAATCTGCATCAGTGTAGGCCTCAAGTATAGGCTTGCCTTTTTCTCTTTTGAAGTTAAGTCCTTGATCAGGTGAATTACTAACATATCGAAGTACTCAACGAGCAGCTTGGAAATGTTCGTCTGACGGATTAACTAGGAAACGAGCTAGATGATTTACAGTAAAAGCAATGTCCGGCCTTGTGTTGTTTGCGAGGTATTGAAGTCCATCAATGATCGAATTTTATTCCGATTTAAGCTGCGCTGTGCACTCTTTACTGCTAGGATCCATTAGTCGTTCCAAGGGCGTTTTTGCAGGCTTGCAATCCCTTAGCCCATGTCTTACAATCAGTGTCCGTGCATACTGCCCTTGGGAGAGCCTTAGAGTATTCTTGTCAGGATTCTCAATATGAATCCCTAAGAAAAGATCTGAATTAACTGTTTTCAGCTTATACTTTTTATATAAAAAATTCATAAGTTGATCAATCTTCTTTGGATCAGGTCCCATTACCTGGAAATCATCAACATGCACCAATACGAATAAATCCTTCTTTGCATTGGTATAAAGACATGCGTCCGAAATTGTCGGAAAAAGTCCTTGCGTAGCTAAAGTAGCTTTTGCATCATCATACCACAAGGCTGCAGCTTGTTTGAGCCCATACAAACCCTTACGAAGCTGGAGAACGTATCCATCTTTTTCAAAACCCTTCGGCATTTCCATGTAAAGGTCAATGTCTAGATCTGGATTTAAGAAAGCTGTGGGAAAATCTCCCTGCCTTCGATGCCAGCCCAAGTGATGCGCAAGAACTAACATGATTCTTCCGGTCTCTGGTCTCGGCGTTGGCCCAAACGTCTCTTGATAATCAATTCCGAGTTTCTGAGTGAACCCTTTAGCAGTACAGCGGGCTTTCCACTTCTCAACGCTTCCATCTGCTAGGAACTTTTTCTTAAAGACCCATTTTGTCAACGGCCAAGAATAACCACCGAAGAAGTTGGACAAAGAAATGTCTCAGGTCAAAAATAGGGATTGTCCATACATAGGTGGGTTATTTGTTTCGGTCAGTGCTTCAATTCTGTATTTAGAACTGCAGGTTATTCTATTTCTAGCGCATGTCTATATTTAGAGATCAAGAGATCAAGTCAATCATGATCAGTGTATATAGTCCTAGAATTCCGGGAGAAATAGAAATCAAGTTGTTTTTACTGAGTTATCTTTTACTTTAATTACATACACTTCGCCTGTCACAGGTCAGGCTCCCAGTTACCTGACACATTTACACTTCATGGGACTTCTACCTTTGGGTAAATCTTTGCGTTTCATGATTTTGATAGCTCCTTTCTTCTTCAACGATTTGAACTCTTCATATGCTGCCTGCTTCCAATGTGTTGCTTCTGAACATGTCATGGCTTCTTCCCACGTTTTCGGATCAGTTGATTGGCAGGCTGTCATTCCATGGTGGAGGCGGTAGTAATCTACTCTCTTGATATTTCTACCGCGTTTAGTTTGTATTATTTCCGGCTCTGGAGAGTGTGTGCGTCTCTGGCCGGCAAATGGCTGCAGAGGATCCCATCCTGTCATTATGAAATCATGTGGAGTTTCTTCTTGCGAGCTTGGATCTTTTTGATCTCTTTGTTGATGAATCAGATCCTGGGACTGCGGAACTTCAGTAGATTCATGTTGGACTTTTGAATATTCAGTGGAATCCTCATACCCTGAGTGATCACTCTCCTTTTTGCTTTGGATGGAGATAGTCGGAGAACTAGGAATACTTGAGTGAGTAAGACTTGAATCTGTTGGGCTCCCATAACATTCAGGTACTTCTGGCGGAGATATGTCCGGTTGAATTTTAAGCCTTGATGACCCAGGAGGATGTATTGGTGGCTGAAAATTTGGTCCCATTGATTGATCTTCTATCGATTCTGTTGACGAATGTGGTTGAATCTCCCCCTCAAACTCCTGTGGTGTTTGATCAACATGAGCTGACGGTACTTGAGATGTCTTAGGGGGTTCTCCTGATAAAGGGATATCAGAGAATAATGAATCCGCTCTAGTCCAATAGCTGGTAGATCTTTTCTGATCAACTGAGTCTATTTTATCACCAAAAACAACATCTTCATTGAAAGTTACATGAGGAGTGTAGCTTTCAATCCACTTCCATCCATGTGTTGGTGTCCAATGGGGGTGATAGATTAAAAAATTCTTATT